GAGATGTTCAGCTTGAATCCAACAGTGAGCTGCTTAGTTGCAATAGTATAATAATTTACTGTACTTTTTCCAAAAGTAATTTTACGAATCCCCAATCAAAAGCATGATGGTAGTTTTCCAGCCTCGGAGCATGAAGTAAGCCCTCAAAGATGCAAGGAGTTCATTAAGCATACACAGAAATAGTGACTTTGTGCACTGCAGCCTCTCTTTCTAAACAATTTCTACATAAATACAGCTAAAAAAGGTGATGAGGAAAAAAATGCTTGGCTCTTCACAAAAAACCAGTTTCAGGGTTGGGAGTCAGAGGAGAGAGCAACCTGTAAAGATGTAATGCTGTAATATTCACTTTTCATTAAGCCAAGCCAAACAAGCCAAAAAGGGCAAACTTGCATGTTGTCTCCCTGGAGTCCGTAACTCTGTGCCTGAGATCTCCAAAGGGAGGGTTCATGTTAACCTCAGTTGTGTCATATTTAACTTGGCTCTCTTTGTAAATACCACACCTTTTATATTTCTGACTCTCCCCATTTTAATACTGCTGGTTTGCTACGTGGAGATTTCTTGTCCTACTTGTGATTTCTCTGAAATATACATAGCTTATCCTCCTGTCTGCTGCTGAACTTCTAATCTGCAAACTCTCAGTAGGTGCTGATTGTGTCCCATCATTTAGATGTTGCACACAGGGGCATTACTGCATGGTTTCCAGAGGGTGAATGGAAACAAGAGGCTTGAATCAGTGCTGTGAGATCTCAGCCTGTGAAGGAAAGCTCTAGGGCACTGCTTGTAATTCCCAGGGGGACTTTATATTCTGAAAAAGCAGTGAGAAGCCCTATGCTGTAGCCTGCTTGAGGGCTCCACTGCTGGATTCAAATATACTCATTTTGATTTCTTAACCCCATGTGAAACAAATGACTGTTGAAAAAAAAGGGTTTCCTAAAAACATGACCTTTGGTTTATTTTCCCAGCTGCAAAATACCTCAGTTGTCCATCTCATTGCCTTTTACACCCTGCCTTGTCTCATGACCATGATGAGGTCCTAGAAATAACCAGGCTCTACTCAGCCCCAGTGAGGCTATTTCTGGAGTGCTGTGCCCAGTTCTGGGCTCCTCAATAAAAGAGAGACACAGAGCTCTTGGAGTGAGTCCATCAGAGGGCAACAAAGATGATTAGGGGACTGGAGCACCACCCTTATAAGGACAAACTGAGGGAGCTGGGCCTGTTCAGCCTCAAGAACAGGTGACAGAGAGGGGACCTCACCAATGTATATAAGCACCTGGAGGGAGGGTGTCAAGAGGATTGATCCAGGCTCTTCTTGGTGGTGTCAAGCAGTAGGACAAAGAGGCAAGGGGTGGAAACTGATGCACAGGAAGTTCCACCTGAATGTGAGGAAGAACTTCTTTACTGTGTGGGTGGCCAAGCACTGGAACAGATTGTCCAGAGAAGTTGCAGAATCTCCCTCACTGGGAATATTCAAGAACTGCCTGGATGTAATCCTGTGCCATGTGCTCTAGGATGACCATGCTGGAGCAGGGAGGTTGGACCAGGTGACCCACTGTGGTCTCTTCCAACCTTACCCATACTGTGATTTTATGATAAGGAGTTTTGTAGAAGCTCACTTCAGAAGAACTTGCACAGAAAGGCCCCTTTAAAGAGCCTCCTGCTATATCTGTCCTCCTTGGTTCTGGAATTGTTTGCTTAAGCTTCTGATGATCATATCTATAGCTAATCACATAAGAAATGCAAACTTACACCAAATGGCATTTTAACTTTACAGTCAAAACTCAACACTTTCAACCCAGTTGCAATACCATCTTCAGAAGTAATAGAATTTAAAAAGGTAGATATGAACATCTGTTAGAGACAGACTCTCTGCTGGTAATGCTTGAACCAAAGTGCAAGAGGTTGGCACTGCATCCTCCAGTGTTCATTAAGACCATTGGGGGACCAGACACCTTCCTGCTGCCTCCTAGTAGTGATAGATGGACATGGACCTCTCTGGCAGGTTGTTGCCTCTGCATTCTATAGCCAATCTGGAAGGGAGTAAGAGTAGTGGAAACCTCCAAGCTGAAGTGATGCTTTGAATTTGTCCCAGAGAAACCTCTACCATCACAAATCATCATTCTGCCCAAAGTTAATTGTTTTATTTGGCTTTGGAGAAACCTGCCACATGTGTACATAGCATACCACTTTCTTCCCAAAGGGCAGATGTCTTGAAGAGGCTGCCAGGCCTCTCTAGCTGCTGGGATGCAGGGCATGAGACGTGTAAAAAACGTTAGCTCCTTGCTGATCAAATGAGAAGTATTGCTTTATGCTGCTGCTTTTCTAGGGTTTTTGCTCTCAGGTTCCACTGCTGTTTGTCAGTGACTATAACAATAGTAGAATTTTCTTTTCATTCGTGCCATCTAAAATTGTGAGGGCTGTGTCAATACAAGGGTGTTTGTGCCAGTGATGTTTAGCAGCTTAGTTTACAGCTAGTCTTGCAAAGTCATTCACCGAGACTCTTGTCATGTTTTATTGTACAAAATCCTTTGAATAAGAGTGGTGGTGGTGGGGAAATCATTTAATGTAGAAGTCCAGACAGTGAGAACTTTCAACTGGGGCCATTGTCAAGAGTTTGTCAGTGTTTCTGCTTCATGGGCTTAGCAGTGACTCTTGTGGAAGGGTAGCTGCTCCACCAGTCCCAGACCATACATGGGCTTTTAAATGTCACCACGTAACAAGTGACAAAGATGTCCTTTTCAGTGTAAATCGACGTAAAAGGTGTAACTTGTTATACCTCTTCCCTTTTTGAAGCTGCCTTACTGCTCCCACAGGCATACTGTTGGTGTTATGCAGCCATCTAGAGGGCCTGCCGCCTGTGCCAGCTTAACACTGTTGAACAGAAACCACAAAACTGTAGGAAAACACAAACTCTGCTGACCCTTAGTGGCCATAACTTGGCTGCAGTTCTGTGGGAATGTTTTTACAAATTCAGGACTGCTGTTCCGGTGCTGTTATGCAGTGTGTTGTCATATTTTTTGAGCACGAAAGGTACTGACTAACCTGTCAGGGAAAAAAGTTGGGGAAGCACTGTCAGTGGAGATGAGGATCTGGGCACCAGAGAGGAGAATGTACCTAACCTCAGGATTTTATGGCAGTTCCACAGAGCCAATGAAATTCGTACATCTAGGAGTTATCACAACTGACACTGTAAACTGAAGGTGAGACATCCCCTGGCAATGAGAGACAGAAAGAAAAACTGGAAGCAGAAGGCAAAAATTACTAAAGACCACCATGTGGCTCTGATGGACAGATGTGATTGCTGGAGACATTAGGAGATGTATGTCTGGTTCAGATAGGGAAGACAGTTTCTTGTACTGATGAGACTGATAGCATTCCCATACAGCATTACAGGCTTGGGCCAGAGTGCCTGAAAAGTGGCCCAGTAGAAAAAGACCTGGAGGTGCTGGTCGTCAGCCAGCTGAACATGAGCCAGCAGTGTGCCCAGGTGCCTAAGAAGGCCAGTGGCATCCTGGCCTCTATCAGCAATAGTATGCCAACAGGACTAGGGAAGTGATTGTCCACCTGTACTTGGCACTGGCAAGGCTGCATCTTGAGTACTGTGTCCAGTTCTGGGCCCCTCACTTCAAGAAAGACGTTGAGGTGCTGAAGCTGGTGAAGGGTCTGGAGAGTAAGTCCTATGAGGAGCGGCTGAGGAAGCTGGGGCTGTTAGTCTGGAGAAAAGGAGGCTCAGGGGAGACCTTATCACTCTATAATGATCTGTAAGGAGGTTGTAGCAAGGTGGGAGTTGGCCTCTTCTTCCAGGCAACTAGTAATAGGACCAAAGGAAATAGCCTCAAGCTGTGCCAGGGCAGGTTCAGGTTGGACATCAGGAAGAATTTCTTAATGGAAAAAGTGATTAAGCATTGGAACAGACTTCCCAGGAAGGTGGTGGAGTCACCATCCTCAAAAGTGTTCAAGAAACGACTGGATGTGGCACATAGTGCTATAGTTTAGTTGACATGGTGTTGTTCAGTCAAAGATTGGACTTGACCATCTTGGAGGTCTTCTCCAACCTTAATGGTTCTATGATTCTTTGTTTCTATGCCTTGACCTGGAATGTTAGACAGAAGACTGGCTTTCAAAGACCTGGAAACAAAAATTTGAGGAAGCAAATAACACCTCAAACTGATCAGGGGAACTGAAATACTATTTTATAAGAGGTACTGAAAGATCTAGCAAGGTTACATCTGAAAGGATATAAAATGTTTCCCCCATAAAAAAATTACATCACTGATATCAAAACCAGAGAAGGTTAAGAGTCACAGGGTGCCAGATAAAATGAGCATAGATTGCCCAAACTTTTCAGGTTGGAAAATTAACGTGCGTTTAACACTAGGAGTAGTGAGGTTTATTAGCTGTGTCTGCAGTGCCAGGAGGTGGGGACTCTTGCTAAAATGCAGGTAAACCCAGGAGGGAGTTGTCAGCACCAGTACTTCCAGCCCCACGTTCCTGCTCTGGTGATACTGTTCAGGCCTGCTGATTTATCAAATTGTTTCGTGGTAACTGTAAAAACAGTGTCCCTGCGTTAGTGTGCCTTGCACTCTGGCAAGGATGGGGGGGGAAGGCTGTGAGAGGCTGTAGGTGTGTGCACCCTGTAGCGTGTACACCCTGTAGGTGCCTGTGCACCTTGTAGGTGTATGTACACCCTTTGGGTGTGCGCACCCTGTAGCTGCGCGTACGCCCTGTAGCCTGTGCTGGCATTCTATAGCTGTGCGCATACCCTACAGCAGCGCTCACCCCGTGCCGCCGGCAGGGCTGCGGTGCCGCCCGGCGGCCGGGAGCGGTCGAGCAGGGCCGCGGAGCTCCGCCCTCCCTCAGCGGGGCGGGGCAGCCCGTGAAGGGGCCGGGCGGGAGCGGGGCGTGGACTGCCCGTGCTGTGGAGCGGCGGGAGTGGCCGGGCGCGGGGTCAGCGCTCGCCGCGGGGCCGGAGCCTCTGCCCGAGGCCGCGGCTGCCGCTCCTCCCCCTCCCGGCGGCTTAGCCCTCCTCAGGTACAGGGGGAAGCGAGGTCCCCACTCCACTCGCCTCGGTGCCGGGTCGGCGAGAGCAGCCGGGCTCCGGCCCCGGTCCTGTTTGTGCCCCGAAGGTCTGGCCAGGTATGGGCTGTGCTGAGCCCTCGAACCCGGGGCCTCGGCGGCCGGGCAGGGCTCGCCTGCCCTGCCGGCAGAGCGCGGGGGCCCGGGGTCGCAGGGCCCGGTGCGGGCTGCCCCGCTGCTCGGTGCCCGCCCGTCCTCCGCGGGGAAACCTCTCCGGTCCTCTCTTTGCCCGCAGGGAGGCGGCCGACGGGAGCAGCTCCCGTGCCGATGCTGCTGCCGGCCTGGGAATTATGGCTCTACGGGTTCCTCACCGTGGGCTCCCACCTCTACGCGTTCTACGAAGCGCACCAAGTGTCCCGAAGTAAGTGGGGGACGGGGTCGCGCTTGCTCCGGCGGTTCTTCCCGCCCGTAGCTGGCGAGGCTGCTTAGCCTGAGTTCTGCTCTCTACTTAGTTAGTTTTTTGGTTTCTACTTAGTTACTTTGCGAGGAGCGCCTGTGCTCTTCCCAGCTGCCAGCCAGCCCTTTGTGAGGAAGCAGTAGGCAGGTGCCACCTGGGCAGAGAGCTTTGTCCCAGGGCTTTCTTGCCTTTGAGTGCTAGGAACACCCATGGCAATCGTGTCCTGGCAGCTTCCTGTCAAGGAAAGGACGGGGAGACCTCTGAAGCTCAGCTACTCAAATGAGGAAAGTTCAGGCAAGTTGGGTTTGAATTATCTTGTTTTTCCTGGCTAGTCACCTGCAGCCTGTTGCAGGTGGGTGGTTAAGAAGCATCTATGCCTTGTGATGGTGCTTTCCAGGGTCTGAACCTGGTGAGGCCTCAGGACAGCTGGGTGCTCCCTGCCTGGAACTCTGGGTTCTGGGCTTGGAGCAAAGGTTGGGTTGTCTGTGCAGCTGTGGAGTCATTTTGTTTCCAGACACCTGCTTGTGCCTTGTGTTACCTCTTGTTGATAGCTGCTGTGGAGACTTGGTTTGGATTCAGTGGAGCTGTGTAGTGCAGAACCTGTGTGTGAGTGAATTGTATAAGTGGGTCTGTAGGTGGGGTTTTAGATGATTTAAGTACAATTTGTAGATGAAAAGAAGCAGTGTTTCTGCCATGTTGGTATTCTAATGGAAATAAAGGTGGTATTATAAAAGTATAAAAAGCTAGAGAGGCTCATTAGGAAAATATGTACTGCATTTGTTAGGCTTTAATCAGCAAGGTGTTCTACACTAATGACCCAGCTGTCTCTTAAAAGAGCTCAAGGGAAGGAGTGCCAGAAGGGCACTTGCAGAGCGGTGGAGGAAGTGTTAGGTAAGTGCCTACAGGGCTGTCCACCCATGTGTACAGCAGATCTTCTGTAGAGGTGGCAGAATGTGATGGCAGCAGGTTCTGTAGGTGGCATCTCTGAGTGGCTTTTCCCTGCTCTGGCTGTACTGGCCACGCTCAGGTCTGTGTGTCTCTTTTGCTCTGGTGGGAGAAACCGGGCAGTTCTGAAAAAGGGGAATGGAGGGTTAGTGCTGGTTTTATGCAATAGAAGATGGGTCATTCTGTGGTACTGTTCCTGTTGCAAGGGGGAATCAAAGCACAGGTTCTGGGAATTTGCTTTGCCATTGCTATGGGGCAGAGCTGTGGCCTGGTTGGGCAGCTGGTGACATGCCCCTCCCTGGATCTGGGTACCCCCATTGGTGGAGGCAACATGGGAATGTGTTACTCTTGAGCATCAGAGGACCCATCCCTGACTCTCTCTCCTCTGGCTGCTGTGTCCTTAGCAAACGTTTCCTTTTCCCTGCAGAGTATGAAGCTGTGATGGACAGAATGTTTGGGCTGGACCCAGGAACTCTCTTTTGGGGCCTCAAAAAGGTAGGATGGGTGACAGGTACCAGCATCTCTAATTTTGAGGCAATAATATGAACATTGTGTTTTCATACCCATTGCACATCCAAACTTCTGATTTAGCTTCAGAAGTTTGTGGTAACTTGCAGATTTGGATATTTATAGTTAATTTTAGACTCCTTCTGGTGAGGTAAAGGGTTGGCTGGGTGTGTCTAGATCCAAGAATCATAACCAGAGTTTTTTTGCTTTTTTTGATCCCTGACTTAAGTGTCTATCCTTTGCTACATCACTTAATAACCCTCTGTTTTGCTGTTTGGCCTTAAAAGGTTTAATCACCCTTGACACTTCCTGAAGCCTTTCTCCTCTTTTTTTTCCTGTCACTGGGTGATTTGGATAACGTGTAACATCAGTGAGCATATCATTTACTTGGTTGGCCTGTAGTCCAGGATAAATTAAACAGATTTTTGAGTGAAAAGGTCTTAAAGAAATGTGGTTAGTATTAAAAAAAAACACCTAATAAGAAAACAAAAAAACAACTGCACACACCCCCACCCCCTTGCTTGCATTTCTTCAAAAGTCTGTGAGATCAAAAGCAACTAATGTAACTAATATTGAGGATTACTTGTGCAAGACCAGGAATGCATGTGTGTGGAAGCGTTTTGGTGTTTAGGCCTGCCATCACTGCTGGTAAGGGAAGCCATGCTTCAAGAAAGCTGTAAAGCAATTCTTGAACTTCTAGTGAGGCTCTGCATTTGACAGAGGGCTATCCTCTTACCTAATTTAGGTAAAAACCTCATATCACAGGAAACTCCAGATGACCTGACTCCATCTGATTGCAATTAGGCATTGTTAAAACAGGGAGTTAAACTTTTCTTCCGGCAAAATGCCTTTTCACTGAAGTTCTTGATTTTTCAAGGCAGAGCAGAGTTGCTCTCTTAATCCCTCCTGCCTGCTCAGGTTCAGCATCCTTGTTTAGGAGGGGTTTAGGAGTCACAATATTGTCTAAAGCTCTTTTTTTTTTTTGAACTCTGTGCCTTTGGAAATCCAGATGGTGCTGTCTGAGTTCACTGCTTTACTCAATCCAACTGGATTGCTGAAATGATGTTCCTCAAATAGAGAGTTCTGCTGGGTAAAACACACCTAATGTGTTACAGAGGTGTTCTCTTGTCCTGTAAGAACATGCATTTGTGGGCAGATACACATTGTGACCAATTCCTTTCATGCCACAGGACCCCATGGACTTTGAGTGGAGCTACTGGATCGAATGGGGAAGGGAACGTATACTGTGGCTTCTGGCTGGTCACCTGCTGGTATCACAAGTGTCCAGGCTCCTGGTGGAGAAGGTATGCATGGATTTTCTTCACAGCAGGGAGTTTCTGTGACTTTCAGTTTATTCTGGACATGGGAAGCTTGACACTGAGGCCACTGAATGCAGTAAATCTCACTCTGTGGGGTCAATTGTGTGAGTGGGTCTGTAGCAATGCACAGGTTGACTGTGTAGGGCAGTTATCTTAATGTTTGGAGACTTCAGCTGCCAACCCGTGAAAGCCTCTGCCTTGTTGTCAACCATTAAACAGTGTCATTTGACTTGTAGATAAAAGAAGGGTGTAGTTTTTCCTTTCCAAAACTGTAAAGTGATGGCTACTTGGGTTTTGGCGTAACTGTTAGGTGATTGCATGATTATGGGAAATGATCTGTGTGGTGTCACACCTCCTAGTTTGGGGGAGGAAAGGAAGAAGTTATGTTCTCCTGCAAATTAGGGAGACTCTGGATTTCACATGATGCTATTACAGGAACACCTTCCCCTTCACCTTTATGGATACTGTTGGGTTTTTGTGTATTTTCAAATGTGTTCTTAACCTTGTTGATTGTCTTTATCTCTACTGTAGACCCTATGCAGGACTGCACAAGTATTGAGTGCTTTTTTTCTTTCAAAATAACTAAAGGTTGTTAATTTTTCTTTTTCTGACAGTATAAACCATGGTGCTTGATGGTTTATGGAATGGCTGCCTGCTGGTTGTTACTGGGAATCAAGGGTTTTGCTGTCATTTTGTTACATGCAGCTGTTTCCTTTGCTGTGGCTCAGTTTCAGCTGTCACTCCTGACATGGTTGTGCTCCCTTATCTTGCTGTCCACTTTACGCATACCAACTGTGGAAGAAACCAAGGTAACGTGAGGAGGACTAATTAAGCATCAAATTAATTTTGGTTGTGGTTGTCTGTAATAGCATCTACCTTTATGACAGCGTATTGTCCCTTCAGTTAATGTAAGCAGGGTTTGGTTTGAAAAAGTCAGGCAGTAGAGCTGCAGTGACTCGTGCTGTAGCTTCTCCAGTTAGAAAGGTCGTATTTCTTGATCATGGTGGCCAGTGCATTGAGATAGAAATATGTACCTTAATGTGTAAGTGGTATTCAGTAGAACTGGAATATGATAATACTTTACTAGCGCTCTATTAAACACATTTCATATTCTTTGGAACTCTAATCATAGCAATTTGAGGTGCTGCTTTTTAGGGTTGTATATGGGAGTTGCTCAGTCAAGCCTGCCTGTACCTTATTGGTGACTGTGGACTTCTACAGGGAGGGAGACTGTTCCTCTGACACTTTGATTTGTACCAGATGAGTTACTTGCTCACAACTGGTTGATGTGAGCTCAGTTTTGCTCTTTCTCTGGGTAGTACAGATTTTGGAAACACTGTTGCTCAATTCTAAGGAATGTCCTTGTTGCTTTTACTTGGACCAAGGGGAAAAACTGGGCATCTGTTACAAGGTTTGTTTCCAGATGTTTGGGGAAGGGGAGATGAGTGTGTAGGGTCTCTTTATGTGGTGTAGTCAGGTTTGTGCTTGCCCTGAGGAGGAAAGGGCCCACTGCAGTAGGATGTAATCAGCCAAACTACATTTGCTGATGTTTCCAAGTTTATGATGATATGTGTCTGTTGTTGGAAACAAGTGTGACAGTAAGTGTCAAAATCTCAAGGGCTCAGTAACATTTTTTCAGCCTTAAGCTTTCTTAAGAGTGGCTGATTCTTTTCAGATCTAGCATTGTCCCTAGCAGTCCCTTGGCTGTCGGTAGTGTTGTCAACTGATTTGAATATTGTATTACTGGACCAAATCTGAGGGAGATAATGACATTTCTGTAAGAAAAGCTCTCCTGCTGTCATAGTTCTTCACAGCCTAATCTGTTTCTGAAATCAAGTTGTCTCTATGTTGGCTGCAGTATCTGTGGAGGACCTTTCTCCTTCAACAGCCGGTGCTTGTTCATGTGTTTGGTGCTGTTCACTTCAGATTCTTATTCCAGCTGCTGTTAGCTTTAGTTGCTTCTTGCTGATGCTGACCGCAAAAGTTAGGATCTGAGAGGACATCACTGTTTTGCCATACAGAAAATACAGCATTGCACCATCATGATCTGGCTTTCTGTCTTGCAGCGGAAGTGGTACGACACTGAAAATGAGTATTATCTGCTGCTCTTCACTGTGTCAGTCCGCTGCCTCTTCTGCACTAGCTTCAGCCTGGAGTACTGCTGGCATGGACCTACCCAGAAGTCATCCCACTCATTCCCATGGATGCTGGCATATGTGTTTTATTATCCCACATTCCACAACGGACCCCTTATGAATTTTGATGAATTCAGTAAGCAGGTAACAGTGGTTGTTGTTTGGGTGTCTAAAACTATCTTCTACAAAATTTTGAAATCATCGAACAATATTATAGGAATGTGACAATTTTGAGTGCATCATTCATCATTGGGAATTTGGTGATGTCCTGGATAAGACAAACCTTCCTGCCCAAGTTCTTCCACTTCACAGGATGTTTTTGTCTGACATCAGATTCATCCCTTCAGTCAGGGAGCCAGTGACACGCTTTGTTATGTTTGGAAAGTGTTTGTAGTTTTAGCATGCAGCTGCTGGCCTTGATTTTTTTTCTTCTCCGTCAGGTGGAATAAAGTAATGTTTTCAGGATAAGCTTGCTATTAACTCTGAAACAGATTTCAGAGTCACAGAAAACTGATAGTTTGTATTGGAAATTCCTGAAGGCTCCAGTTTCCCCTCATATTGAAGTGAAAACATGATTGTTTACTTGGAGCACTTTGCTTCAACTAGGAAGCTTGTGTAAGACTTACCAATCTTAACAAATGCTTTTCCTAGTCCCTTGCAGGCTGCTTTTCAAGCCTGCTTCTATGTGACAGCGGAAAACTCCATATTTTCTTTCTTTATCGCTTTCCATATTCGTTGGAAAAGGGTTTCAAAGTTTGCAGTGCCTAGCAGTTGATTCAAAGTGAATGATACAGAGTATTTATTGCTGCTATTTGAGAAGACTGCTCACAGAACCCTTTAAATGAAGCTGAGACTGAGATGAGAGTTCCTGCTGAACACACTAGAAAGTGGAAGTTCTGGAGTTGGAGACAGTGAAACTGCCGTATGTCCCAAAGAGTGTACTACCAGTTCTGACAATTGGCATCCATTGCCAGGCAAAAATGAGGCACTGACACTTGATCAGTGGCCTTGCTGAATTTCTGGCTTGAAGCAAGTCATATCATAGCAATTCTAATCATGGGGTTGGAGGCTTGTTGTGCAAATCCCTGTGATAAAATGGTGGTCTTCAAGCTTTCATCTGCTTGGTACAAACAAACCCTCCAAATGAGTGTGCATGTTGGCTGTACTACACGCCTGTGATTGAGGGTCCATGCAGATGAGTTAGTTACTTCTCTTGTATGTGCATTTTTGGTGGCCAGTTAGAGACTGGAGAAGGAAATGTTGCACACAATAATAGATATACAAAATGACTGTATTTTTAGGCAATCCCATGTTTCTGTTGTTTGATCCTATTCTCTTTTCTTGCAGAAAGAAGGTGCAATAATAATATGCCAATGTGTTTATTGTAGTTAGCAGTGTAAGAGTTTGGGGCATCCTGAGAAGCATGTCAACTGCAAACCTTGTCTTATCTGGTATTTAACTTGCACTTCCATTTGCTCATAATGTCATGTAGGTCTTGCTGACTTGGGCAGTGCTACAGGAGAAAAATTAAGAACTGTCTTCAAGTAATCAATTCCCTGGAGTTGTTAAAGTTGGAGGTATTTAAAGAGCAAACAGTCATGGTCTCTGTGTTTGAAAGGGCTGCTGCTTGGAAAACCTTCATAGCTGTGGTTTCTTTAATCTCTTTAGATTATCTCTAGAGGTTAATCAAGTTACAGGAGTTTAAGTCTTGTGTCTGGATTCTGTTCAGGTTAACAGCACTTGACCTTTCCTACAAAAGTTTGGTGCAGTGTGTTTGTGTTTGGCTTCTTGTTGGTTTCTATGGCTTACTGAGATTGAGAATGGAGAAACCAGTTTTTCTCAAGAATATGTCTAGAGGAATTTCCAAATGGTGTAGTCAAAAAGTTCTCAGGATGAGTATTTTGATTAAAACAGTCAGTTATGTGCTGGGTAACCTCTTTGGATTTCTTCTGCAGATGAGGAGACAAGAAGCTTTCAGTGTGAAGAGCAATCTCAGCATCTTAATCGTGGGCATAATTCGTATTTTCTTTTGGTGGGGCCTGGCTGAGCTGATGATTCATCTCATGTATATCCACGCTCTCTACAGTAGTGCTCTGCCTTTGGAATCTGCATCATACTGGGCCTTGGGTGAGTATAGAAACAATAGCAGAAATCTTTCTTCTCTACCACTTCAAGATCCTCAGTCTACTTCTCTTTTATGTCTATCTGTAGATGCTTATGAGTAGTACATTATAGCCAACCACTGTCAGAGAGGTAGGTGCTCTACAGACTCTTAATATAACATGTAGGTGCTTTATAAGCTTAGTTGAATGTTACTGAGCTGCTTCCTAAATTAAAAATGTTCTATACTTTTTTCACTCTAAAGTATGTCTAAACTGTGGTCTAAAGTGTTTCTCCTCCTCGAGTCATAGAAGTGAACACTTAAGAGGTTTTTTTAGTGTGGGGATGGAGGAGGGGAGATGTTAATTATTATTGATCTCCTTCTGATTGATGTTTCTAGTTTATATTCATGTTGAAAAGTAAAAATGACAGAACTCATGAAACTAGTAGAGGGAAGGACTTGGAAATACAGTGATCTGAAAGCAGCAGTCAGTACCTCTCAGTTATGTTTTCCTACTTGGCTTCCCCCACTTCTGCCCTTGCTCAGTCTCCTTGGTATTTCAGTAAAATGCCCAACTGTGAGGAAAAAGTGCTGATAAATGCAGCATAATCCAGCAAGAGCCTTGGGTGATGGTATGTAAACAACTGTCATATGTAGTCCATTTGATTCCTGCCCCCCTTCCCTTCCCTTCCCAGCTCTGTGTATCACCAGGTAGGAGGAACAAAAGAAACTCCAGACCTTAAAACTGGGTTCTGAAAAAGCCTTCGTGATTCCTGAATTGAAGGAGGTGTCTCTTACACCAGGGATATTACACCATAATATAACTCTGGTATGGTCCTGTCCAGCATTTGTTGAAGATTACCTATGAAGAGCAGTGTGTGTTGGAGGATACCTGTGCATTGGACTCTGGTCAGCAGAGGGCAATGTGTGCACTCTGTGCTTATTTGTAGGTACATAAATAAACAATATATATTTCAGTATGATTTTTAGGTATAAAAAAGGGCAAGGGCAAATGGAAAGCAAGAAAGTGAGAGGTTTGCCTCTGTAGTTAATTGTTTGTTCTACTCCTCACTCATTCACTGTTTAGAAAGTGGATTCTGAGTTTTTCTGTTATAAGTGTCAATTCATTGATGAATTAAATCTGTTCACTCCTGGTGTTTGTGTATGTGACAAAAAGCTGGCCACTTGAAAAGGCAGGTGGTGCTACTGAGTTAGGCATGAAATATTCCAACTGTGATGCTACTGGTGGATTCCTCCCTCCTTTCAAGACTACCAATGTTGATTTTAAAGGGGAGCCAGAGGTGAGTTACTTCACAGACAACACTGTAGGCTGTATATTTATTTGATGAGGAAAAAGTGTGTAATCCTGAAAATTAAAATGCATTTTGAACAGATGATTAGAAAAGGTGAAAATACCTCAAAGCAACAGATGGTGAAAACCAGTGTTAAAGCAAGTTTGGACTGTAAAGCTGTCTGACTTCAAGTCAAATGACTATATTTTAATGAGTTGCCTGTGGAGACCTTGCTTTTAGGAGAGGTGTATTCAAAATGTAACCATACTTACTGAGCTTCCTCTTCATATTGAAAGCAGCTGTTTAAAACATACTACAGGGAGATTTTGAAGCAGTTGGTCACTAAAAGTGTTTTTTCTACGTGTTTATCATAGTGATGGGTTGACCTTGGCTGGATGCCAGATACCCATCCAACTGCTCTATCACTGCCTTTCCCAGCCATAAAGGGGAGAGAAAGATGGAAAACAACTCGTAGATTGGGATAAGACAGTTTATTAAAGCAAAAGCTTGTGCATCCAAAAGCAAAGTGAAAAATGACAGGGTTTATTCTCTACTTCCCAATCAGCAGCAATGTCTGGCCACCTTCCCGAGATGCAGGGCTTCAGCACGCACAGGGGTTTCTTAGCAGGCAGCCATTGGAGACAACGAATGCCCCACCCCGCCACCCCAGCCTCTATATCTGAGTTGATGTCATAGGGTATGGAATATCCCCTTGGCTAACCCAAGTCAACTGGGTCTACCTGTGTCCTCTGCCAGAAAGAATACCACAGCACCGACGCTGCGCTCAGGAGTAGCCAAAAAACTGGTGTGCAATCAACACCCCTCCAGCCACCAATGCAAAGCACAGCACTGTGAGGGCTGCCATGGGGCAAACAAACTCCATCCCAGCCAGACCCAACACAATGATAATGATTATAGAGGTCTCCTTAGACTCCAACCAGTGGTAGGCCACTGTTGTGACTTGCTTTAGGGAGCCACTAATATATGAGTAATAAGGGTACTAGTAATACTTACTGGACCCTTATGGATGCTTCTACACCAGTTCTTGTACAGAGCCAAACACCTCTGTTATTTTGCATTCTGTTTTATTAAAACCAGTTACATCAGATAACTGAGTCTTGAGACCAAGAAAGCATCCTGCTGTTGACTCAGGAGGATTAACCACATGCTATATAAGCCTTTCTGCACTGATGGGTTTTGTTCGTTTTGTAGTTTATATTTAACTACAACAGCTTCAAAGAAGCACAGAACATCTACCACAATGCCTGACTGCCGTGATGGTCTGGTAAACTTAGGGGAAAGACTGTGAGGCTGTTCTGCAATTACCAGTTATCAGGGAGGTTATACGTGCTCCTCCATTTTTCTTCCAGGATGACTTTGAACAATGGCCAGTAAATGCCAGTAGTGCAGGTAAAGACAAGAGTGTTGTGAGATTTTGCTCTCAACATCCAAGGGCAATGTCAGTACAACACATGAGTGTGAAGCTATAGTTGTGTTCTACGTCATTGTGTGGTGTTCCTGTGAGGTGAGACAGCAAAGAAATAAAAAAACCCACAAACCCTAAACTAAACACGGACTGACTTACTGTTTTTGTTTAAAAATGCTTATGTACAACATTGTCATTTATGGCCGTGTAAAGCAAAAATGCTAAAGTGACCTAAAGTAACATTGTTGAGGGCACACAGTTATAAAATTAAGAAAAAAATAATAGCTGGGAGAATGTTAATTACCCAGCAGTAGGAGAAGTATTTTCTCTTGTGTGGATGGAATCATAGGCACATGAGTTTATACAAGCAGCAGCATACCGAAGTGGTGCATATATGGTTTTGATGCCTGTGTATTTTACTGTAACAAAGGTGCAAGCTGTCTTCAATATTGCTGTTCACGTGCATTAGCTACCATTAGTATATTCTGTGAATTGTATGTTTTTTTGGTGGTTGTTGTTGTTTTTTTTGTTGTGTTTTTTTTTTTTTTTAAATAATTCTAAAATTTTTAGACTTGTGTGTTTTGGCAACTGAACCAAGGGTCTTCGTAGGTCAAATGTTGTGAGATTCTTTTCTCCATACCCTTTATGAGCCAGTATGTGCGTTACTGTAGCAGCCCTCTTGACCTATAGGTTATGTTACCTCATTCCTTGCATTTCACTTGCAAATGCCTTGTTCTGTGTGTTCTCCTACTTGTCTGAATGTGAGCAGTCGAAGTCAGTGTGGAGCAGAGCTTCTCCCTCTCTACAGGAAATTACCTTCTGTCCCAAATAACCCAGCTGGGTTTTTTGTTTGGTGTCCCTTGGGACACATATTACTATAGTGTCTTAAAGGCACAGAGGGTATTGTAGCCTTGCTTCACCCTTTGCTTCTCAAATGAGTATCCTTCAGTCTCTTCACTGGCTATGTAATTTGGATAGATGAAGCCTATCTCTTGAGTAAATAATGATGTGTGTTGTGGTTTAGGAATGTTATTCTCTATTTTAGTACTCCCATTGAAACAATGTGCTGCTTTCCCTCTCCAATTGGAGATCTAAAAGGCAAAGATCACAGGTTGAGATAAGAACAATTTACTGGAAATGGCAATGGAATAAAAAAATGAACAGTAGTAATATCACAATATTAATAACAAAAGTGTACAAAAGAGAGAGTGCAGAGCTCAACCCAACATCCATGCCACTCCAACTTCTCCATTTGGCTGCAGAACAGCATTGCTCCACTGCTCCATCCACCACACTTGCTCAAGCAGAAGGAGCCCCTTCTCCTCAGAAGTGAGAATCCCTTTCCCCACCCCTGGCACTGACCTGAGGTGGTATAGAATAACTTTGTCTTAGCCATGCCCCCTCCTGGCTACTGCAGAAATTGACTGTGTTCTGTCACAAACCAGGACGTGGCACATGCTTTCCAGCACTTTGTGGTGCTGTGGATGGAAGCATTGCTGTCACTGAAGTATCTGTGCAATCTCTTTAATTGCTGCTTTATGCAGTTTATATTCATAACTGGTATGTTTCAAAGCAATTAACTGAGTGATAAGAGCACTGGGAATTGTGAACAGCTTTGGGAAGAGTGAAGACAGTGTATGTTTAGGTTGTCTAAAGGAAGGACCTTTACTTCTCTCCCAGTGACTCCTGTTTTCCTGGATTACTATTGTCCCTATGTTAACTTGTGCCTGGCAGTTGCCAGTAAAGACAGCTTCTGTGCCTGCCCTGTGGATCAGTATGCTATGGATGTACATAGTCACCAACCTGTCCTGAGAGAGTGCAGGTTGCATCCCTCTGTGCATCAATCCTTTAACGGGTAGAAAGTGTCTTGTTGCACTATGCCTCTTGGATTTTGGGGGGTTTAAAGGAAAAATGGTTGGAGTCCTAACTGGAGGGTCCTCTGAAAAACAGCAGCTTTCTTAAAGCTATTCTTCATGTTATGTAGAGGAACTTCTCTACCAGGAGAGAAAATGGACATTCATTATTTAACCTCTTCAGCTAGAAAGTATAAAGTCTACTGTTAAATTTTTTTCCATGTTAAAGACATTTTACTGGCTTTCTGACCTTGATATGAGAAAAAGCTTGTTGCACCCACATCTTACATGGACTAAATACAATAAGAAAGTACTATGGATCTGTTTTCAGAGTATCCCCTCCCCTACTCAGTACCAAAATCCCCACATGCCAAATAGATGTCAGAATTTCTTCTATCACATATTCTTCCTCATGTTTAAATTATTTCCTTTAGCATTCTGCATGTACTTCTTTA